TTTACCTATCCCGCGGGCTGCTGACTTTATTGCTCTCTCACAGATTCGCTCACACGTATTAGTCAAGCGCTCTCTATTCATTGTGGAAAATTAACGTGCATTTGAAAATCACTTGATCAACGACATGGATAATATGATACGAGACTCTTTGATTCGAGAGCTGTCAAAACTCGCATTTTTTATAACATTTACCAATGATACCACTGCTGAAAAATATTACATTGCTTATTTAATAAATTAAACAAAACACTAAATTAAACACTTTGAAAATGCATACATATGTAAATGCTAAAATGCAAAATCATTAATTAATTTACATAAACATTTATTTTGCCAAAATATGTTCGCACAGATCAATGAAATTTCATTTCACACTAATTTCCTCAGGATTTCCGCCTTTTCTGAAATCAACTGTCAGAAATTCCCCGATCTCCATCGCTGTCAAATAATCAGGGAACGCGTTTGACAGAAAAATGAGAGCAAATGCCGGAGTCTCGTATCATATTATCCATGTCAACGACTGTTGGCTGCTACGCATGTAATTTGTATCAGCGCGCACATACATTAACAATTTTATTATGTTTAATATTTAGTGGGAAAACAAGTTTTTGTTTTCCGAAAACTTTTTCGGCAATGCTGAGTGTTTAGTTTGTAAACACATAACTAAACGAAATAGGGAGTACTATGCTAAAAAGCATTATAGCGGAAACCATTCTATTTATGAATCGGTTACGGGCAGTTCTAGAGAATTATTTATATGCCAACTTAAAAAACCGTTTTATGAGCAATTCATTAACGATTCATTGGGGGAAAACTCAAGCGTTCGTTATGCTCAACGAAAGGCTAGTTTTGCTGTTGCTTTAGAGCTGGCAAAGCAGGGAAGACCATTCAATGTTTAAGTACTATAGGTCAGGAAGTTTTCGCTGCTATCAGTTCAATACCTTTATCACGGACAACTATAACTCGACGCACTGAAGTAATAGGCCGACATATTTATAATATGACTATGCGAAAGGTGCAAGAAAGCAAGTATTTTTCCATATGTATTGACGAGAGTACAGATATATCCGATGTGAACCAATTAATTATTTATGTAAAAATGGTAGATGAAAACTTCGATACAAAAGTGAACTTGTTTTCGGTTGTATCTATGCATGGCCATGTGACTGGTAACATTCTGTATAATGCTGTATATTCAAAGGTCCTTGCAGTCTTTGATATAACTAAATTAAGTAGCATATGTACTGATGGTGCTCAAAGCATGGTAGGTAGATTAATTTCTTTTTGACACGTGAATTGTCTTTATTTTTGTAATTGATAAAAAAATTGGCAGAGATTCCGATTACTTTGGCGGAGGGGTAAAAAAACCGAATTTCCGTGTAAATGAGGTATGTGCGGATAGGGGAGCTTCTCCAGAAAAGGAATATCCAAAAATAATATAAAAATAACTAATATTTTTCAAAATATTCACGATTAAAAGTTCAAAAATATGCACTAATAACACAAGGTATTTCTCTATCTTCCATTAAATTTATTCACGTTTTTCACTCTGTATATTTAAATATACACTCTAAACATTGAAATAAGTTCACATTTCAATTTTATTTTGTAATATTTCACCTAAATTTATTAATTCAAAAATCACTTGGCGAACTCGGCGTTGCAAAGGTTAGATTGTTTACAATTATGACGAAAACGAGCGCTGCCACATCTTAAACACCAAATATGTAGGATTCTTAACGATTTTTCTTTGTTTGTTTTTTTTCGTGATCCTTTTTTCTACATTAATTATAATAAAAAATACTTTCTAACATTTTTTAAGTTATAATTGAGTTGTGAAAACTTTTCCACATATACATTTTACATGTAGTATGTGCATATATGTATAATATGTGATTTATATTTAATAAACACATATGATTAAAACTCTATGATAATATAGTATTATAAAATTTTTATAATATCATGTCGGGATGACTGAAGTACTTTAAATAACGAGCGAATACCCAGGTGGACTGAAGTACTTACGCGGAGTACTCCTTTCTGCGTTAAAAATAAAAATATATATATTGAGTTTTTGTTATAAAATGGTTATATTTGTTGATTACCATGCAATCATATTGAAATAATAATTGAATTTTCGTTATAAAATGGATAAAATTTAGTTATTATATCTGTCAGCGATTTCTATTTATTTCTGATTATACATTGTTTTGTATTTTAGGTGACAATACATCAATTTTTATATTTAAAATATGAGTATCGGATAGAAAGTGGTTATATTTGTTGATTACCACGCACTCATATTGAAATAAAAATTGAATTTTCGTTATAAAATGGATAAAATTTAGTTATTATATCTGTCAGCGATTTCCATTTATTTTTGATTATATATTGTTTTGTATTTTAGGTGACAATACATTAATTTTTATATTTAAAATATGAGTTTCGGATATAAAGTGGTTATATTTGTTGATTACCATGCACTCATATTGAAATAAAAATTGAATTTTGCGAATTTTTGAACTTTAAGGTCGAATATCTCCTAAACTAAGCGTTTGCGGTACCTATAACCCCATATATTTGTTAATCAGGAGGACTTCCTCTTTGCCAAAAAATTAATAAGGAATTTCATTAATTTCACAATTTTGTAAAAATTGTCGGATCACTTTCAAATTTTTATACTCTCGCAACAAAGTTGCTAAAGAGAGTATTATAGTTTTGTTCACATAACGGTTGTTTGTAAGTCCTAAAACTAAAAGAGTCAGATAT